AGTAGGTCAGGCTCTGAGTGTGGGGGCGGCCCCTCTGCAGCCATGAGGTGGAGGCATGTTTGGGGGTGATCGGCACAGGAAGAGATGAGGGGAAACCTTGGTGGGCTTATTAAGAAGGGGAAGCATGGGAGTGCTGGGGTATGGGGTGGGTCTGGGGCCAGGGAAGGATGGACAGCAGAGGACAGACAGGGCCTGGGCCTGAAGAAAGGGAATCAAGAACCTGAGCAACCTCGAGGACCCAGGCCCATGGAGGACCCTGCAGAGGCAACCAGGGTCCAGCCCAGGAAGAGTTTGGCCGGTGCTGGAATGAGAAGAGGGTTTCACTGAACCCCTAAATGTGCCACATCCTGATGGGCTCTCATCACCTCCCCAGCAAAACCCTCTGAGGAAGCTCAGAGCTCCCCATTTTATCGAGGAGAAAACTGAGGCTCAGAAAGGTTAAGTAATATCGCAACATCTCCTGAGAGGGGAACCCCAGATCTGAACCCCAGCTGGCTTGACTCCAAAGCCACTACTCTCTGCCCTTGCCCACTAGGGTGGGGAGGTCCTGACTCAAAGAGCTGGGGGTGGAGGATGGTCTGAGAGGCTGCTGAAGCCAACCTGCCTTCAAGACCAAATGTGTCCAGCCAGCGAAGGCCCACTGGGCACGAGGCCTGAGCTCCTATTTTGCTCCCCCTGCACCCCCAGCAGCACTCCTGAACACAGCCTCCTGAGGCCACCCGCCCTCCTCCCACACAGAACAGACTCAAACAGGCTCACTCAGGCCCCTTGGCTCACACCCACTAGCCAGACAGGCACAGAGACACAGAGCACACACAGATGGACCCCGCCCACCACAGAAGCACACACTACTCCTGGGGTCTTCCTGAAAGACTGCCCCAGTTGGCCCTGGGCAGGAAGAGCCATTCCACTGCCATCTCCTGCGTCTAACAGAGCCGAGAGACTTGGGGACACCGGGGGGGGGGCAGTGGTTGGGTTTGGCAGAAAGAGTTGGGGGGCAGGATGTGCAGCTGTGTTCGCCTGGAGACCCACATCGCATCCCTTCCCACTTGTGGGTTCGGTTCTGCCCACTCTCCGCCCTTGGGACCTGGGAAAACCACACGCACATGCACACACGCCCACACACACAGGCACGCACACATGCACCGTCTCAGATGCAGTGAAGCAGGGAAACTGAGTCTGGGCTTGCCTGACAAAGAGTATTAGCAAGCCCCACCCACCCACCACCCACAGACTGACAAGATCCCCAGGGAGACGAGCTGATCATCTGCTCCCCACACACAGGAAGGGAACAGACGATCCGCCTCGTTACTATTGTTAGTAATAATATCACCCAGAATAATGCCCGCTCCGTGGATCCCTCTGAGGGTTCCTCCCCACGAGGCTGGGCCCGGGCAGTCATGGCCGTCAAGGAGCACACACAGTCGGGAAGCCAGGCTGGCAGAGGGCCGGCCAGGAGCGCTGGAAGGCAGGACACTGGGTTTCCGAGGAGGCAGCCAGGCTCAGAGCCCTGCACTCTGGGGGAGAGGCAGCTCCCCAGAGCCTCTCCCAACGTGAAGTCAGTTGTCACTTCTGTTAAAGTCATTAATTCCTAATTCCCCAATTACCTCATTAGGCGGCGGTGGGGAGAACGCAGCCGCTCCTACAGCAAATAATTATGGGAGTCAAAATTAATTTGGCAAAGTGGAGCGACGCTTTATTAGAAACGTCAAATTGCCTTTCTCTTATTTTGCTGCCGCCTTCCCACTCTCCGAGAGCTGCTGATGACGTGGTGCTGGGAGCTGGTGTGTCACCGAGGGAGGGGGCTTGACGGCTGCCCACGAGGGGCTTCAGCTGTCTGGTGCCCAACTCTCCCCTCAGAGCGGGCTTCTCTCACGGCCCCCACCCTTGCCAGGCTTTCCCACCCTAGGCCCAGCCTCCCCGCCTCCCCGGCCTCTACAGCACCCAGCACCAAGACCTGTTCCTCCATGGCCCTGCATCAGGCAAGGCCCGGGAGCAACCATTGGGAGGGAAAAGGAGGAACTCCCTCTTCCCAGCCGCTGACCCCTGCCCCTTCTCCTCCTCAGCCCTGGGGAAACTTGCCCCCTCACCCAGCAGGCACGGAGACACATGGCACACCCACAGACACTCTCCCAGCAGCCAATCAGAGATGGTCAGGATGTCAGTTAACGCTGTGTGCTTCCCATGGGGGCAGGGAGGGGGGAGTGTCCTGAGCACTTTACATGCATGATCTCCCTCAAACCTTGCAGCAGAGAGCTGCGGTGGCTTGCACCAAGACAGAGCAAGGAAGTGGCAGAGTTGGGGTTCAAACCCAGACCCTCTGCTCCAAAGCCACGCATGGCCTCAGGGACAGAAGGAGGAGGGGTAGCCCTCACTCAGAACACAGGGAAATGCAGTCACACCTGGCCACACCGACAGGCACCACTCCACGGGGAAACACACATCTGTAGCTATGCGTTTGAGCAGAGACCACAAGGCCCAGGCTCTGTCTTCCTCACCAGTTAGAGCCGTCATTCCCGACACACATCACCACGCACCCAGCCCCACACTCTCACACACACACTCGCCGTGACAGATGCTGTCTCGCTCACGCACAGACACAGAACCTCCAGGCCTCCTCCCCAGGCCTGACCCCGCTGTCCCGCTGTTCTTCCCTCTGCGCCCCTTCCCCCTCAGCTGCCACCGCCACCCAAGTCCTGCTCTGCCCAGAGGAAGTCTGCCCTCAAGCCTCCTTCCTTCACACCTTGGCATTGAGGGATGGGTGCAGACCCAGGATGCTGAAAAGCTGTTGTGTAAGGAGGGGCCCGGTAGCCTCGCTCCCAAGCAGATGGGGAGGGATCTGTGTCCCAACCAACAATTCTCCTTCCCTGGCTTCCTCTCCCAGCGTCCAACTAACTCTGCCCTCCTTACGTAAAGCCCAGCACAACCCCCTGGTCCACCTGCCCGACCCTCAAGCACAGGGGTCCTGGCCAGGGCCAGCATATGGGATACAGGCAGGAAACAAGGCAGCATCAGGGGCTAGAAATGGGCAGATGGAGACTGAGGGTGGAGGCTCAGGACTGAAGACTGTGGGGAAGAGGCAGGGGAGAGGCTGAGACAAGAAGTGAAATGGAGCAAGGCCAAAGGTCATGGGGAAGAGCATGTGGCGGGACCAGAGACGGGGAAAGAAAAGAAAAGGGGCCACCGGACCAGTTAGGAGGCAGAACTGTGAGGGAGGTGCTGCAGATGTGGTGGGAGGCCGGGAGGGAGGCCCTGGGAAGGAACCATGGTCAAGGCAGGGAGCAGGCCCAGGGAGGGACTAGATCCAAGGGAGGAGCTGGGCAGAGAAAGGCAGAGCTGGGTAGGACCAGAGGTCCAGGTGGGAGTGTGGGGCTGGGTGAGAGGCCAGGGAGGTATCAGCGCTGCCATCGAGGCAGTCAGGGAGACAGGGTGATGGGCCGCTGGAGGGGCAAAGGTCACAACAGCAGAAGTTAAGGGCAGGGCAGAAGTCTGGGGAGGAGCAGGGCAGAGGTAGGGGCAGGACCTGGAGGCAAGATGAAGCCACAAGGGTGGGCTGCCGGGGGCGGGAAGGTATAACGGGTAGGAAAAGGTAAGTGCAGGACACATCGGGTTGCCCTTGATGGTAGGAAGGGGAGGCAGCAGTACAGGGGCAGTCACAAAGGTGGGACCTCTCTGAAGCCTGCAGAAGAATGCCTTGGAAGGCCCAAAGAGGCCCTTGACCACATTCAGGAAGGTCAGAAGATACAGAGGGTCTCGGAGAGTGGGGTGCTGGGGAGAGTCGAATCAGAGGGGAGGGTGGTTCTGGGAGTGTGTTGAATAATGGGGGGGTCTCAGAAGCAGAAAATCTTAGCAGGAAGCTCCAGGGAGCAGAGGCTCTGAGGGTTCTCCAAGAGGGAAAGACTTCTTGCGGAGCCGACCCCATGGCGACGAGGGACTGAGCGGATTTGGGGTTGGGAAGGTTGGGGCCGAGGGGCTGGGACCTGGGTCCTTACGATGTGCAGCTGCAGATAGTCTCCGAGGCCGGAGGCGCTGTCCACCCGCACCAGCACAGCACTCCGCTGGTGGGTGCTGAAGCCCACAGCCAGGCGGTCCATCCTCGTGCTGGGCCGGTCATTGGGGGGCCACGTGTAGGTAATGAGCGCTCCCCCCTTCCCAAAGATGTATGTGGTCCCGGCTGCAGAGAGAAGGAAAGGGAGACACGGAGAAAGGGCATCAGGAAGGTGAGGACCTCAGGCTCTCGGGGCTGTGAACAGAGCACTGGGACCCCAGGTCTAGGCGTGGGGCCTCGGCTGTGATACCCACAGAGGCCCCCAGCCCTGCAGCCCCAGGGAACAGTTGGCAGGCGGGTGCCTGGGTGAGAGCCTGTGTACGAGCACAGACAGATGTAGCTGCCTCATCAAGAATTCCAGCTTTAATTACAGCAAAAGAGAGAGGTAATAGAGAGAGTGACACAGAGAGGGAGCCCAGAGAGAGGCTGCAAGGAGACAGAGAAGACGAGAGTGCCGTAGGCAGGAAGAACCCAGAAGGCCTGGTTCTGGCTGGCCACTCTGCTCCCAGGCCCGGCAGAGGTGACAGATCCAAGGTGCAGATTTCTTTGGGGCCAGAGCTGAAGCAGGCACCAAGGCAAAAAGGAGCCCCAGGGGAAGCTGAGCAGGGCTGTGCACAGCTCTGACTCACGGCCGGAGCTGGCCCCTCCAACAGCTGCCCCCACCCTCCTCCTGGTTCGCCCAAGACTCCGTGCTTCCACCCCCAATCAGGGGGCTGCCTGGGTCCTGAAGCAGGGAGGTCCTGGAGCCGTGCCCAGAAAGGGAGAGACAGCCATGGGCTGGGGGGAGGGGAGATTGACAGCCAGAGGAGGAAGGAGGCAGAGAGACAGATGGACAGAGAAGGACAGAGAGGGGTGTAGGTGAGAGAAACGGGAGAGTGGGAGCCCGAGATGAAGGCTCCTCTCCCAGCCCTCCCCCACCCCACCCTCTCTCCCCTTCTCCCTCTCCTCTTCGCCAGCCGGCTGCTGGGGGCGGGTGTGAGGTCCCTAACGATCTCAGCCCCAAAATAAACCCCATTAGTCGCCATGTTCCCTCCTGCGGCTGACTGAGCTCCCTGGGGGTGGGGGTGGGGGTGGGGGTGGGGCTGGGGGGCTGGTCACCCAGTTTCCGGAAGGGAGGCTTGTCTGGGAGACCTGGAGGACTAGCACTCTGGGGCCTGCAGGGAAGGGAAGGGAACAAGCCTGCGAACTCTTTAGAGCAGAAATGGAGCTGATGAGGTTCATAAAATGCTTAATTAAATAATTAGCCACGAACGACTCCTCTCAAAGCGCTTCTTGGGGGAAGAGGGGTGCAAGGAAGGACCCAACCAGAGAGAAGGCCAGAGGAAGTCGGAGCCTAAGGGCAAAAGCCTGGAGGCGGGAGGAAAGTGCAGCCCTGGGGTGAGAGCCCTGGGCTGCTTGGGAAGCCTGGGTCGGAGCTGGGCAACTGGGGCCAGGCAGCCTAGGAAGGCCTGTGCGCTTCCAAGGAGCAAGCCCACTCAGCCAAGATGGCGGCCCTGCTGAAAACAGAGGCTGGGTCACTCAGACACTGGAGACCTCTGGCCTCGGGGACTCAGGAGTCCCTTGTAGTTGGGGCAGTTGGGGTAAGGGGGCTCCATCCCAGGGAGTTCCTGGGCCCCAAAGCAGAGGGGATCACCTGAATGCCCTGGAGGCAGGCACCATCTGCAGGCCCAGGGAGGACATGAGGAGAGAAGGGAAGGCTACTGCTGCCTGGGTCTCAGGGAGGGAGTGAGGGCAGCCAGGCCTGGGGCTGGGGGAAGCAGGAGCTGTGAGTCCCCTTGCTGCTCCCCAAGCCCCCACCACCAACACCTTCCACCTCCCCAGACTGAGCCGGAGAGATGGCCCCCAGGTGCAGGACAGGAGGGAAGGAGTCACCTCCATGTCTAATAACTGGCATCTTGCCTGCTGGGAAGCACCTGCAGCAGAAGGGGCCTGGCTTCCCCCCAGGTGTCCTTTCCACCTGGGAGACCTGGAGGCACAGTGGTGATCGCTAAACCCTCTGGATGTGCCCCCAGTTGCAGGTAAAGTATCAGCGGGGGGCAGGGTATGCAGTGAGCCCCACCCCCGCCCCATGTGGTCACCTGCCTGGAAAGGGCGAGGCCTGGAGGCGGGAGCCTGGTAGGCCTCAGCCGGTACAGTCTCTCCACTCCCAGCACTGCAGCACTCCGGAAAATCGGCTGTTTCCATGGCAACCGTAATACCCAGGGTCCTCCCTCCCCCTCCACTCACAAGCTGCACATCTGAATTTGGGGGCTGGAGAGGGCCACACACACCCCACCTTGCCTTCCTGAGCAGAGGCTACAGTCTCTTTACCACTGGGCTCCAGGCCTCCGACTCAGAGGAGGGCGTTACTGGGCGCCTTCGTCCCTCAGGCCAGGGAAGGAAAGAAAATTTACCCAGAGGCTACCCCCACATCCCCCAGCCCTAGGGGAAAGGAGGCCCTTTCTCCTCACTTTCCCACCTCCAGATCCCAGACAGCACATCACCATGGACAGAGCCCTGTGGCACCCAGAGAAGGCAAGGAGCAAGCAGGCCCGATGCCCCAGCGGGCAGTGAGGCGGAGCGATCAGAGGCAGGGCCCACCACCCAAGCCCCAGGCCCCACACCCACACACAGGCGACAACGCACCCAGCTGCACACAAAGACCCAGCGCGGTGAGGCAGACCCCCGACAGGAGGCGAAGCAGCCAGGAAGCATGGCAGTGAACGCACAAAGACAGGCCACCACAGGCGGCCCCGGGGTAGGCGCTGGCCCAGCGAGGGACTGGCGCACAGGTACCCATCCCTGGCCCGCGCACAGGCTGCCCACAGTGCTGCCCAGCCCTGGCCTCCCCCGGGATTGATCACCCAGCTGTTCCCACACTGCAGCCAGTTTATTACGCTGGGCGGGCCTGTGAAAGCCTAAAAGTGTTTATTACACTGTGGGGGACGGGACGGAGAGACACTTCTTGGGCAGAAGAGGTGAAGGATGAATGGTTTATTGGACTGAGGTGGCAGTAATTACCCTGGGGAGACATTCCTCTCCCCAGCACCGCGGCTGCCGCCCGAGGGCGCCAAAGGCTCGGCCTGGGGAGGACAGCTCGGCTGGGGGGCGGGGCTTCCGCCAGGTCCCTCCCTCTCACCCCCGGCAAGCAAGCTTCCCTCTGCCCTGCCCATGGACTCTCCAGAAAAGGCGCAGCCAGCCTTCTAGGAGACACAGAGCCCAGGACAGCACCACATCTACAACATCCAACAGGCTCCCGGAGCGGCTGGGAAGACAAGAGGGACCTAAGCCAAGGCCCAAGATGTTGCCTAAGGCTGGTCTCCACCAAGTTTTGGCCTCTCTAGGCAAGCGCCTAGCATTCTGGGAAGTACTCCAATCCTGGAGCCCAAGACAGCAGAGTCTCTGGCCAGGCACAAGATGCCATGGGCCCAGGCTTGGCATCTTCTGTCCACACTCAACACAATCTCCTTGATGCCTCCTAGGCCCAGGGAAACAATCTGAACCATCAAAAATCTTCCAGAGAGGTCCCCCACACCTACATTCCAGAAAAAACCAACCAACCGTTAACAACGGTTAGCTAACCCAGATCCAGACAACACAACCATGCCCTGTAAAAAACCACCCATGCAGTGATGCCCCTGTGGTCAAAAGGCATGTGAGGAACCTCTGCCTGCCTGTGATCCTGCAGCATGAGAAGCCATGACAAAAGCCTTCCAGAAGACCTGGAATTGTGAGAGGATCAAACATCCTGCACAATCCAGAAGACCCTTGGTCCTGGTGCTCCCAGTCCATACCGGCTCTTTGCAGGGAACTTTCACATTCCAGAGGGGAAACATAGGTCTGGGGCCCTGAGCTCAGCTCTCTTATCCAGAATCCTCAAACACAGTCCTTCCATTCTTACCCCATGCTTGGCCAAAAACCATCCCGTCAGAAATTCAACTTACACAGTCACATTCAGAATCAAAACCAATGCCAACCCCCCTTACAAGCTGCAGTGATGAATCCAGAACACCTGGAAGCTACTGACTCAGAACCGAGCTGGGAGTGACCCTGCATTCCTGGCTCCAGAGGGTACCAGAAATGAATGTCAGGAATGGGGAGGATCCTTAAAGACTCTGAAACCAGAATTGGGGGTTGAGAGCCAGGAGAGGGTCACCCCTGCGCTCGGCCCATTTTGGGGACCCAGGTGTGCCCATCCTGCCGTGCCCCAGGCAGACATCAGGTGCAGGAGTGCCATTATGTAACAGGAGGGGCTGGGGGATGGAGGGGTCAGAGGGGCAAAGAGTTGAGGGGGAAGGCAAACAGACACACAGCAAGACCCCAAGAGAAGGGAAGTGGAGAAGCAGGCACAGAAAGAAAGAAGCTCCCTCACAAGCGAGGGGGGTGTGCGTGCTAGGGAGACCCTGGGGCAGAGAAAGCCTGGACCAGAAAGGCCTCCTGAGCGGGCCTGTTCCTGCAGCCAAGTGTGGGGTCCCAAGAGGACCTCTCCCGCCCACCTCCCACGGGCAAGGTTCAGTCAGGACAGGGGGCCGCATCCCTGCCCTTCTTTCCTTGGGCCCTCTTCCTTCCTCTCAGGTGCTGCACCCTTCACAGGCCTCTCCGCCCCACCTCCGAACCCTCCTCCTGCCTGAGAGCCCCTCAAGCCAGCTCTCCTTCCATCAGCCCTAGGCTGTCATGGGTCCTCTTTCTTCTCTGCACAGCGAGGGGATGGGGATGGCCAGCCCCGAGGCACCCCCAGAGCCAGCATCCGTAGGTCCCGCCCCCTGTTCTTCATCCCCAGCCGTCCTCTCCCTCTGCCCAGCTCTTGCTCCTGCATGGAGACGTCCTCGGCACTCCAGCGCCCAGCCCTCCTGCCCACCGGCCTGGTGTCCCTGGGCCGGCTGCCCTCTCCTGCACCCTCCTCCGCCACTTGCTCTCCTCTTCATCCCACAAAGCTCTGCCCCGGTATCCTGGCTCCCCTTTGCTATCTCTCCCCTGCGTGCCTTGTCGCCTTGCCTAGAAAGAGCATGAGCCCTCTGGGCACCTTTGGGAGCAACACTGGGCCTCAAGGGAGCTCCAAGGGACAGTGACAGAGGGAGGAAGGTAAAGAGAGCCAGAGTGGTCCTGGGGAGAGGAGGGAGTGAAGGTTCAGAAGCAAGGCACAGGGTGAGGAGGTGGAAGGGCAGAAGACACTAGAGAGCACTGCAGGAGGGGAGCCAGGCAGGACAGAGAGGAGAGGAGAGAACCTGCACTGGGGCTGAGAGAGGAAAGGGACAAGGGAGGAGCTGGATGAAGAGGAAACAGAGGCATGGAAACGGAGATGAGGATGAAGCAGGAGAAGAGGGGCGAGGACAGGAGAAGGAGCAGAAAGACTGGCGGTGACATGATGGCACGAAGCCTGGGAAACGAGGGTGGACTGAGGTAGAACAGGAGACAGAGAGGAGGGCAGAAATGGGAGGCAGTGAGGGGCAGGGTGGGAGGGGATGAGAACACAGGATGGAAGACATGGAGGAGCAAAAGCGGAGTAAAAATGAGAGGTGACAGAAACAGGAAGCGATGGGGTCGCTGGATGTACAGAATGAGAGGCCACACAGGCAGAGAGTGAGAGGTGATGAAAGCACAGTGATGGGAGGTGACAGGAGCATGTAGTGTCAGAGTCCTCCTGCAGGAGGTGATGGAGGTGGAAGGTGAGGACAGAGGGCGCGCAGAGGGGAGCGATGGGAGGACAGGTGTGAGAGGACAACAGAAGGGGCAGGGAGGTAAGGACAACCAGAGTTCCTGGGGAGGGGCAGGGTGTTAAGATCCAGAAGCCAGGTGTGGGGTGGGGACATGGAAGAAATGGGGGCTGGGACTGGACGGAGGCACAGAAGTGGGAGGCGATGGAGGTGCAGAGGTGGGAGGCAAGGTGGGCACAAACTTGGCGGTAAGAGGGCCACCCTACGGGAGGCGATGGCCAGGCACAGAGGGGGGGTGATGTGGAGTACCGAGAAGGGAGGTGACGAGTCAACTCAAATGAGAGGTGATGGGGTCTCCGGGATGAGAGGGGACCGAAGCTCTGAAACGGAATGTGGAGGAGGGACTGAGGTGGGAGGTGATGGGGCCTGGCATGGAACGAAAAAAGTGTGGAAAGGGCCAGGCAGGGGAAGTGATGGGGGGACTAAGGTGGGAGGTGACGGAGGCACAGAGACGCAAGGCGACGAGCGCAGAAACGGGAAGGGGTGGCATACAGAAACTCCTAGGGGTCTAAGACCAAGCGAGAGGGCCAAGGTGGCAGGTGATGCCAGGTGGAAATGAGGAGTGACGGAGTCCGAGGAGGGAGGGGAGGTTGGTTTTGCAATGGAGGCCGAGACAGGAGGTGACAGCAAGTGGACTGTGACAGAGGGCTGAAACGGCAGGTGAAGGCCAGCCTAGGAACAGAAAGGAGATGTGTTGGGCTACAGAGGTGAGAGATGCTAGGGATCAGAGGTGGGGACAGGGCAGAGATGAGGAGGCCGGAGGGGAGACACGGAGATGGGGAGCAAGCGTGAGAGGTGGTGGGACAGTGTCGTGAGCTGATGACTTGGGAGGTGATGGAAGACCAGTGAGAGGAAAAAGGGGGAAGGATGCCAGAGGAACAGAGGTGAGAGGAGAGGTACGTGGGGAAATGAAAGAGGAGGAGATGGGACATGTCGGAGGCAGGGATGACAGATGGGACAGGGGTAGGAGGAGGTGGAGGGAGACGACAGGCCAGAAAGGGGAAGGTGAGGTGAGGCAGAGCTGGAGGTAAGATGGAGAAACGATAAGGGCAGCAGGGAGGAGGTGATGCGGTAGAAAAACGGAAGGAGAGCTGCGCCAGGAGGAAAGGACAGCCGGCAGCCGGCGCGAAGCAGGACGGCGAGGACACGTCGGCGGGACGAGGAGGTGAAGGGGGTCAGGGAGCGAGGCGCCCACGACCGAGAGGAGGGCAGCGGGA